GAAGATAGAAGCTAAAGGTAATTGATTTAATTTCTAGAGTCGTGTTTCAGCCGTCGTTTCTGTAATTAAAAGTTGCAATTAATTCGCCGTTTGCAACCGTCCTCGTCAAGATATTCGAACTGTCTTTGTTGCCTACGAAAATTGTTGTCATTTAGAAGACGAGGGCGAATTAATATTTTAGAACCTCATCTCCGTTACGTAAATATTTAGTTGACTTTGGTTTCTTACGTTAATTTAAGTCGAGCTTTACAACTGCAAGGCCAGGTTACGCCGGCATAAGTTTTGATAACACTGGACTGGAGTTGAGAAATTTCTTAAAATAAATTTTGGAAACTTAATTTTTTTTGGAATCTGTCCTAAATTGGATTGATATCGTCACAAAAATCTCTTTTTTAAGATGTTTTTCACCACTTAGTTCCATTTACCGAATTTAGTTTAGTTGAGGATTGGGATTAAAGAAAATCTTTTTAAACACGTTTTTTTATTTTTTTATTTTTTAGTTTAGTGAGCCAAGGATTCTGAAAATTTTTTGAATACACCCCTCACGCAAATTTTGGAAAGGCAAACTCGCGCGATAATTTTCAATGTCGCTCTTAATCTGCATCAAGCGTGACCTCCTTTCAGATGTGTAATTACTTATTATTATAAAACAGTACGAGATTGATTACAAATAAGCAACACTCCTATAAATTTCATTGCAGATTTAATGAAACAGCATGGGCAGCTATTAGGTTTTAAGTAGTCGTGGTAGATGCATTTTGTACCATTAATAATGGCCATACGTGGGCGTTGCCAGTTCTAATAAAATACGAAGTAATGATTACTTTATGCGTTCGTTGCACATACAGGTGCGCGTTACTTTGAAAAAACCAAATTTATCGAAATAGTTTGCAAATGCGGCCAGTATATTATTTTCGAATTAAAAAAGTGAAATTGTTAAGACTATTTTCATTACCATATTTATTAATAGGCGTTTTTGTAGATAATGAAGTATAAGAATAAAAAGATGAGTATCCCACGATACTAGTTATGTGTATGTTTTATTTATTTTTCATAATTTTCTATAACTAGTTTATGCGGGTAAAATTTGAAATGGAAATATAACGAAGATTTATTTATTTTCTTACAGCGCGCATAGTATAAACATTCCAAAAAGATGGAATTAAAAGATACGCGTTTCCCGTCAATTAATTGCAAATCGCCGACATTAATTTAACAATAGTCCGATGGCATCTTTATTACGCAATTACGGAATTTCCATTTAAAGTCGCCTTAAATCAATTTTCTATTCTAATTGGAGATTTTATCAATTATTTTCGCCACCCCAACAAACTTGCATCCAGAGCATCAGCGCAATCCATTTTAAGGATACCGTTTCTAATTAAATTTTTCCAGAAAACGCTCAATTCTGGCACGAACGGAAAATATTTCAATTAAGAAAACAATCTCGGTTTCGTCGAGCTCAGAATAATGGGTTAATATTGAGCACGTTTAATAAGCAACCAAGCCCATTCGCGTTAGTCTTTCGTAATTAAAAACTTGAGCTTTATTAATGATGTATCTATCTGTTGGTGGTCGCATTATCCATTCAACCCCAGTGTATCTATTGCACGTCTTCATACTCAAAATAATCTAAAGTTTAGATTAAGACATTGGTTTTTTAAAATATTTAAAATTTCGGCAATTTGCAAAAAATTATGTGAACCCTGGCAATTAGCAAGTAATTTTGATAAATACCGTGGGCTTTTTTTTATTTGCTTGTGTTATAACTACTATTAGTAATCACGAGTCAGGAATGCACTTTGCTTAATTACCGAAGGTGTAAATATCAATTTCCGGTCATACATGACGTTTGTTTTGTTAATTCTAATTAACAACGATTAACTTTTGGTTTGTCATGGGTATGAAAGTTACTTTTTTTATCACTTGATCCTAAAGAAGGCAGAAAATTAGGCAAAACAACTGCCCATTTTAGATATTTTTACGTAAAATACAATAGCGTAGTAAAAAAATTGTTTGTCTCATTGTTTCTGAGATTGATCCATAATTGTTATTTTTAAATTGCAACACCCTGTATATCTTAACGTTAATTGTTTGCATTCTTTCTCCTGACTAGGTTGATGTACCACAATTAACAACCTATATTTTTAGCGCTTTTTTTAAGAATGAAAAAAGATTAATTTTATCTCTCATTGTATTCTAATTAAAGGTCTCAACGAAAGGAACCGTTTTCTACCAACTACTGCCCTTCTTTCTGTCCTCTTATCAAAGTACGGGGTGGAGGGAAAGGGGGAGGGGAATGGAGCTAATTTTATCCTTCATGGTACTCTAATGAAGGGTCTCAACAAAAGGAATTAATTTCTACCAGCCATTGCCCTCCTTCTCGACCTCTTATCGTGATCGGGTGTATTCCCTTATACCTCAAGAACGGATTGTCGGAAGAGGATACTCGCAATTAATTTGCAAGAAATATATCCATTGGTGATGTCAAAACAAAAGCTATTTCGGCTAAAAAATGCGCTTTATCTGCACAAGAGTTGTGCACAATTTATACTTGTTTTAATCTTGGGCATGAACCTAAATCAAAAACCTTATTTTTTAATTACCATGGATTCATGGAGATTTTGTTTTGTTTATTGTATCCATGGTAACTAAGACCAATCAATAAGAATCGCGGTAGAAAAATATCATTTCAAAATTTTGAAAATGTGATAGGTACCAACCTATATATCTACAGGATGTTTCAATTTAGTACTCGTGAAAAAATCAATGTGATAAGGAAAAAGAATGATACAGAGTTTTGAATTTAAAAAATACTACTTTGGGTCAAATCTCAAAAACGGTGCCCCAAAAATTTGTTTGGCTACGCCACTGGAAGAAAAATAAAATACCTACAAAATGATCATAAACACGGTGATTGTTCTAAACATTTTGGAAAAAAATTATAACCGGGGGGTCTGTGGGGTATCGAATACCCCCCAGTACACAGAAGGAATCAGTTACCTTTTGTCGAAAACTGCCATAACAGTTGTCATCCCTATGCTGGGGGGTATACCCCTATACCCCCAGACCCCCCGGTATTACATTCTTCTCCAAAACGTTCAGCAACTCTCGTGTAAAAAGAAAAATTTGAGGACACTCCCTACAACATAATCATAAACATTGTGATAGTTTTAAACGTTTTGAAAATTGATCACCGGAGGTCTCTGGGGGGATGGAGAACCCCCCCAGTTCACAGAAGGAATCAATTAACTTTTCCCGAAAACTACCATTACAGTTATCATCAAACCTGCCTGTGCTGGAGGGGGGCGGGAGTAAACATTTCATGACACTCCCTACAAAATAATCATAAGCCTGATGATAGTTCAAACCTTTTGGAAAAATTTACCGCAAAAATACTTTTGTATGTACATGGTGCCCCGTAAATGTGGTATAAATCACAAATCAAACGCCCTGTATTTATTACGATAATAATGCATTGTTCTAAAGATTTTGTATTAATAATGCTATGTGCAATACGAAACGGTCACTCAAACCACCCGTGACGCGCAAGCACCTGTTCAGATACTTAGCTCAATTTAGTACAGGACAAAATTCTCGGTCTTGACGTAAATTTAATTAATTTGAGAATGTCGGCAGCCTTAACCGCCTCCAAAAGACCCAACAATCAATTAAGACATTTTAAATTTTCATTTGAAGTAATTTCGGATACAAAATAGAAAAATTTAACATGAACACTCTTATCTGAGTCGTCATTTGGGTTCGATTAATCACAAAACCAACCATTCACAGATGAACAAATTTATTTGACATCAAACAATCAAATAAATTGGAGGAAAAAAAACAGGCACTCAGAGCGAGATTAAACACCACGCAACAAGCGATCGATTAATTAAAAAAGCTCCAATACCGGCAAAACTGACTGGTTTGCAACAAATAACGCCCACCAAAAAAAAAGCTTGACCAAGTAACGTTCAGTTCAGTTCTTTTCTCGAAAACGATCATGCCAGTTGTCATCAAATCTCCCTTTGCTGGGCCGCGGTACTACATTCTTCCCCAAAACGTTCAGCCCTTATAGCTCTCGTGTCAAAAAAAAATTTGATGCCATTCCCTACAAAATAACCAAGAACATGGGGATAGCTCTTAACATTTTGGAAAAAAAATTTAACACTGGGGGGTCAGCACGCAGAAGGAATCAATTACTTTTCCCGAAAACTATGACAGTCATAAAATTTTCCTTTGTTGGACAGTATTCCATACCCCTCAGAACTACATTTTTTTTGACATCTCTCTTTAATAAAAAAAAATATATCCAGTGGAAGTTTTCAAAGGCCCACAGTGTATAATATTACATAAGTCATTTCCGAAAAAAACCACGGTTCTTTCGAGTCCTTTCCTTTTTAATTGCAGAGGTAACTATTAACGCAGTTTTTATCCGAAAAGTGTCAGTTTGGTTTGGGAAGGCCGAAACGTATTACTCGGTTTAATTGAAAGAGGTAATACAGCAAGTTAGGGAAATATGGAGAATCTATGTCTAAAATGATGGAACTTTGAGGACATGGGGAAAATACCTAGGAAAAATAGCAACACGAGAAGAATTCTAGAAATTCAAACCTTCTTCAATGTTCTCAAAGATCATTATGATCTTTGATGTTCTTCACTGCAAATATATCGCATAGGAATATAAAATAAGATTGGCCTAGGTTTTTGATTTCTCCAAATTCCTACGTTAAGATCCCTAAAAGGGGATGACGAAGTTTGATATCTGGATGGTTTTTAACATGAAAATATCGATACAAAACTTCTATTCAGTGGCGAGGCATCTTGGGGTATCACATTTTTGGCAATCAGAAAGAGAATACCAGAAAATTTGGGCATCCCTCGCTCCTATCTGTCATGATTGCTGAGAAGGCTTTTCACTTCACTTTAATTGCACGAAATTCTTGGTCACCTCCCGTAATTAATTTGGTTATACAAAAAGTGAGAAACACATCACTCACCTCCTTAATTCCATCCAGTCTCCCTAGGCTTCTCGCCTGCCGCAGCCCGATTTCGACGAGCTTCCGGCCCTTCCTTCTCCGTTCCAAAATTCTGGGTTTTCTGGGCGTGATCGGGTCATTATCTTCGGGATCGGAGTGTATCTCGGGACAGTGGTACGTGTGACGTCGACGCGTGTTGGGGCTCGTTATTCGCGTAATTAAATTATCGAACATTTTCATCACATCGGTATTTTTCGCGCGCGCAATTGTGTCAATGCTACAAATTTATTTGTAACAGGTGGTACGCCAAACGTACTTGAAATTACCCTTACCGCCGCGCGTAACTTTTAATTACAAAGTTTCACCTTCGATTAATGCGTTTCCGTCCATTTTGTTCAATCTGAAAAAGAAAAGCGCAACTATTAATGAACTATTCAACAAGTTTTCCCATTCATGAGAAGAATTGTTAAAATACGGTGGAAGGTAATGAAATCGGTACTTTGTTGTTGGTGTACGTGCAAAATAAATTAAAACCGGAACGTTGGGAGTTATTAAAAATAAATATAAACTTTAAATTAATTCAAGAACAAGTTTGTAAAAAGCACCGAGTGATAAATACAGATTGTTTACGGGTTACAACGAACTCATTCAAGCCTGGTTATATCTTCATACTTATAAACCCAATCCTCTTTTTTTTTTAATTAATAGACCCAATAAAAAAGGCACTCCTTGTTTTTTAAAGGCATCATTTGTGTTATGGTCTCTGAACACTGCAATCCATTCAAATAACCAAACAGTGCATGCCAATTTAAAGCAGTTGGTGCACTCTAAAAAGTTTTAACTTTAATGTAGACGCTATAGCAATAAATTGGTTTTGTATTATCGTTAAATTCGAGATTTCTGTCGATTTTTTGTTGGAAGTCTTAAAATACAAATTTTATTGCATTTTGTTAAACTCAACTCAAAGTGCTCTTTCCCGAACACTGCAGGATAAGGAATCGAGGGTTCATTAGTAAAATTCGCATTACAAAACCAGCTTCTGGACCATATATACCGAATCTATACTGCAGAGACACCCAATTTCACATCGCGGAGAAGAAACCCTTTTTTCCAACAAATTTTGAAAAAGGTCTTCTACATAATGAATCCCCTAAATTTAATGTTGAGTGGAGTATATATGTAAACGAAACTTAATTCCCTACTAATTTCATAGGGGTCTCAAATAGACACCTTCGGGATTTTCCAATTATTTCCTACAAACTTTTGAAAATTTTATAGAAACCACTCAAATGCCAAACCTCACCTTTACGTGGTACCACCTGTTTTCACTGACGAGAACATGACGACCGAGGAACTTGTGGAATAAGAAGTGAACCCACTACCAAGCACCAACGGTCTCTTCGAGGGAACATTTTACAACTTCCGGGTGTTGTAAATTGGCCCCCAAAGGCGGACGAGTCTATCAAAATCAACGCCATCAGGATAGGAAATGCAACGGGAAACCACCCCATTAGAGTCCCTAGTGGTATTTCCCTGGAAGAAGGTGAACGAGTGCACATTCATTTAGTAGGGAATCCACGAATATTCCGGAGTTTCCCATTTCTCCCATTTCCCAAGCTTAAAAATCTGGAGACGGTATAACGGTCCGCAAACTATGGAAAGCGTTTAAAAGGGTCTACAGTGCATTCTACCAAAAAAAAAATTGTCTCAGATCGATCTGGAAAAAAATTTTTCTTATAGAATGTGGCCTGTAAAATCCATAATTTCAAACAGTTCCAAGATTGGGCTACTAGTTCAAAAGTTACAGCCCTTTGAATTTTTTTTCGAAATTGGTTTCTAGTCTATAACTTTTGATTGAGAAGTCTGATCGAAGAAGTACGAATTGATTTGGATTCTACGCACCCAAATTAATAAGAAAAAGTGTTTTCCCGAGAAATTTTGGTGTAGTCGATTTTTGGTAAAAAAGGAAGGTTTACACTGCCTTTTTTTGAGCCCCGAAAAAAAAATTGTCTCAGATCGATCCGGGAAAAAAATTTTCGTATACAATGTGGCCTGTAGAATCCATAATTTCAAACAGTTCCAAGATTGGGCTACTAGTTCAAAAGTTACAGCCCTTTGAATTTTTTTTCGAAATTGGTTTCTAGTCTATAATTTTTGATTGAGAAGTCTGATCAAAAAAGTACGAATTGATTTGGATTCTACGCACCCAAATTAATAAGAAAAAGTGTTTTCCCGAGAAATTTTGGTGTAGTCGATTTTTGGTAAAAAAGGAAGGTTATACACTGCCTTTTTTGAGCTCCAAAGCAAAAATTGTCTCAGATCGACCCTAAAAAAAATTTTCTTATAGAATGTGGCCTGTAGAATCCAAAATTTCAAACAGTTCCAAGATTGGGCTACTAGTTCAAAAGTTACAGCCCTTTGAATTTTTTTTCGAAATTGGGTTCTAGTCTATAACTTTTGATTGAGAAGTCCGATCGAAAAAGTACGAATTGATTTGGATTCTACGCACCCAAATTAATAAGAAAAAGCGTTTTCCCGAGAAATTTTGGTGAAGCCGTTTTTGGAGCCCCGAAAAAAAAATTGTCTCAGATCGATCCGGAAAAAAAATGTTCTTATAGAATGTGGCCTGTAGAATCCATAATTTCAAACAGTTCCAAAAAAAGGTGTTAAATTCCCATGTTTGTTAAAATTCGTTTTTAGTAGGTACTACTAAAAAAATTGGGATTCATCAAGAAAGCATCCGAGGGGCTAAAATTCGCCCCTAACTGACAAAGAAGGTCGCTTAACCCCTAATAAAGAACGATTCATCTTTAGAACTATACGAAAAAATTGGCATCCACTTAGAATGCGCCCGCAGGGGGTAAAATACGCCCCAAACTTGCAAAGAAGTTCGTTTAACATCCAACAAAAAAAAGTTTCAAGTTCTTTTGTTTGTTAAAAGCTTAATATTCACCTTTAGCACTCCCGAAAAAAATAGCAATCACTTAGAAAGTGCCTGATGGGGTAAAATCCTCCTCTTACAAAGAAGTTTGCTTATCACCCAATAAAAAAGGTTTCAAGTTCTCATGTTTGTCCCTCTTTAGCACTGACCAAAAGATTGATATTCACTTATAAAGCACCCGAGGGGAGAAAATCGGCCCCTAACTTACTAACAATAAAAACGCTTTCAAGTTGTTTTGTTCGTTAAAGAGTTAAAAATTATTTTTAGCACTTCCGAAAGAATTGGAATTAAAAAGCGACCGAGGGGGTAAAATCCGCCCCTAACTTTGCTTAACACATAATAAAATAGGTGTCAAGTTGTTTTGTTTGCTACAACGTTAAGATTCATCTTTAGCCCTCTCGAAAAAAAAAGGCATTCATTTTGAAAGAGCCTGAGGGGGTAAAATCCTCCCCTAACTTACAAAGAAGTTTCCTTAACATCCAATAAAGAAGGTTTCAAGTTGTCATGTTTGTTAAGACGTTAAGATTCATCTTTAGCACTCACAGAAAATTGGCATTCAGTTAGAAAGTGCCGGAGGAGGAAAATCCGCTTCCCTAACTTACAAAGAAGTTCGCTTAATAGCAAATAAAAAAGGTTTCAAGTTGTTTTGTTTGTTAAAATGTTAAAATTCATATTTAAAACTCCTGAAAAAATTGGCATTCATTTAGCAAACGCCCGGGGGGTAAAATTCGCCCCTAATGTACAAAACAAATCTATTAGCACCCACAAAGAACAGGTTTGTTAAATTATTAAGATTTATCTTCAGCAATCTCGAAAAAATTGGTAATCATTTAGCGATCCCCTAAAAAACCACGGTTGTGCCAATTTTTTTGGTAGTGCTAGATTTGGTTAGCATTCTTCACATCCTTTATTTTGATTGGGGTTTTACAACAATTCTTTAACGAATAGATGGCCGTTCGGGTGTCTCCGGCAATTTGGCTGCTGAAAATGGGCTGAGGAACGTCAGAGCAATAATTGTTGGGATATAACGATGCCGATGCACCACATTAAAAGCAGGATTTCCGAAAAAGGACAATTCGGGAAATTTTGCCGAGTGGTAAGGCACATTTTTCGAACATATTCCATTTGGTTTCTTGTTGTATAAGTCAAGCACTAAGGGTATTGGACTAAAATTTCAGCGAAAAAATTGGTTCCAGTTTTCGATTTCCTTAGACAACCAGTTTGGGTCAATTTCTGTAGAGGATTACTGCGGTACTACTCTTAAATGGTTCATCTCATTACCATTTCGAGTTAAATTATAGTACTACTTTTCCTTACCGTTTTCGAATTTTTACCGCATTTTGTAGAGCACATCTGCCGCTACAATTCCCGGTGAACTATCATCAAAATAACGTGTCCAGTAAGTCTGGTATCGAAGCGCTGTTACGTGCACTAATCATAACAGTACCAATGCCTTGGCAATGGATTTGAATGAAAAATAGTCTGGGTGACCGAGATGATTTTGCGTAGGTAAATCTTGCGTGCAAAGTGCGAGTTTTCGCGGCACTTAATTGGCATTTAATGATTTCCAGCTTAAAATAACAGGAAACGTGATAATTATCGACTTGCCAAAGACGCGCCATGTTTTATCATCACGTATGCGCATTCCTAGAAATTCGCCATTTTACCTTTGTTTAGAAGGATGGAGAAGAGAAAAAAAAGTTGTGGTAAATTACTTCAAGTGAATATAATTTACACGTGTTTGTCTCGGGGCGAATTTGAAATTTAAATCCCAATGACACATACCTTTAATAATATTTATTTAGCCGGTTAACAATTTGCAATTGGTGTCAAAAACGTTAGCGACCTCGGTCGGTCATCGTCGAATTGAAAGATAAAAAAAAACAAGTACAAATGGGATGTTTCGGAGAGGTTGCTCAGACCGTTGGTATTCGACAGGTAGAAGGAGGTGGGTTAATTGACTGGATTTAAGTTATTTTTGAATTGAATCGTGATTAACACACCTTTCCATACGTTCACCTTGAGTAAAAACTAAAAAGGATTCTTCTTGGGGTTACGTAAGAATTTTGCAAATATTTTCGCTAGCACAATTTGGTTTTCCCATGGCGAGATCATTTTCCTAGTCGAGTGTAACCCCGAAGGCGTTGACCGACAGCAAACTCACTTGTCGCATTATGTTCTGTAACTGTTAAACGCAATAACTGTGCAATATCAACAATACCGCGCGCGTGATCACTTACGTTATTTGTTTTTAAATCTTAAAAGTCTTCTATTTGTTTTACTCTAATGTACCATAACCTTTCGAACAGTGGCAGTCGAAAATCTTCCCATACTTGATTGGCAGTGTGTCCGTTTTCAACAAGACGTAGCACCACCTCACGAACTATGTAATATAGTATGCAAAACGTAAAGGGTAATAATTAGATTAACCATGAAGGCATAAATTTAATGAAATTCAA